AGGGAGAAGGGCAGAGTCAGAGTCAAGCGCAAGAGGGGAAACCAGGGAAAGGGAAGCTTTAGGGAGGAAGGAAGAAGGGAGGCTGCCCCAGGGAGCGGCTCACACAATGGCAGAGGAAAGCCAGCTGTGGGGAAGCACGTCCCTCCTGCACGGAAGCCAGGCCAGGCCAGGCCGGCATCTACCAGAGGAAAAGCTCCACTGGGGGTCAGATCGGCCAAAGTGCAGAACGACAAAGTGGGACAGAGAAGGAAAAGGAAGTCACAAACATCCAAAATGGCAAGAAACAGATCACTCAGTTAAGCAGGAATGCGTGATTTCTACACAAGGTGCTGGTGCAAGAGGGAGTGGAACCAAACATCAGCCAGTTTTCTCACTAAGCAATTCTGTGTCCTGAAAAACACACTTAACCTCTCTAAGACAAATGACGTTTCCTATTTTGAAAAAAGTGGTGGTGGGGAGTGGCTCTAAGCCCCTTTTCTCCAGTTTATAAGTGAGGGAACAGACAGAGAAAATCCACAACTCTTAAAAGGACCAGAAGAACAAGAGTTTTAAAATGAGAACCCACCATGGTGGTGCACACCTGTAATCAGTGTTCAGGAGGCTGAGGCAGGAGGATCGCCAAGAGTGAAAGGCCAGTCAAGGATACATAACAAGTTCAAGGCCAGCCTGAACTACACAGTGAGACTCTATCTCAGAAATAAATTAATTAATAACAAAATGAGAAGAGTGATAGTTAACAACAGGTCTCTGTAGTGCTTCTCAATTTAGAAAGTACTTTACAAGATGGATTATATGTACTTCTCACTCCAAGACTGAGAGGCAGAAAACGTTATCATTCAATACCATTTCTACTGGGTATGGTGCTGCATGCCTATAACGCCAGCACTGAGGAGACTGAGGCATGAGGTCTGCGAAGAGTTCAAGGCCAGCCTGGGCTACATAGCACGTTCAAGGCCAGGCTGAAACTACATAGCAGGAACCTGTCTCAAAAAAAAAAAAAAAAAAAAAGTCATAAATGGAAGAACTGAGACTCAGGGATCCAGCAACTGGCTCACTGAAGACCCAGGATCCATCTAAAATGAGCACAGAACGCTTTATCCTTCTGTATTGTGATATTCCTCTTCCCCTTCCTCAGGGTAACTAAAGGTGTTCAGGATAATTTTGAGACATATCAGCTAACAGATAAAAGAGAGCTATACCCCATCTTCCCCCTTCACTTTTTTTTTGGTGTGTGTGTGCAACCTTCTCCTTGTTTCTGCTATTGTCCTGTGATCACCAAAAAATGTAGCTACTTACCATACAGAGAGCTATAATCTTGCCCCTCCACCAAAAAAAGCCTTTAACTTAAAATAAAACTCCTTTAGGATTCAAGGTGTTCATTTCCAGGCAAACTAACTCAATAGATACAAGTATTTTCCTATAAAGTTGAACTTGGTTCACTGCAACCTTGAAAGTCTACCCTTTCAGGGAGCATCTCCTCAACAGCTGCCAGGATGGCTGCAGGTGCAGCATTCCTGGCTTGTCTGCACACAAGGTAGCTGAACTGACCTTGCAGTCTGATGCAGATATTAACCATGAAAGGGCTATTTCACTTTGCAATGGCCAGGATTCCAAGAGGAGAACAAGGGGAGCAGAAGTAGATGGCTCCAGCACCCTAAGTTCATTTCTCACAGTCTGAAGTCGATAAGCTGAGCTCAAGGGGGCATGTTCAGCTTCGGTCTTCTCCCTGGCCTCCCTGTTTTCACTTTAAGAGGACTCCACTACATCTCTATGGCACCACCAACAAAGCAGCACGATGTGCCCTGTTCTATTCTTTATTCTTTACTTCATTCTATCAGCCAGAACTGACTAATTAACTGTGGTACTAATGAAAACTGGTGCTACTGGTCCCAATCTATTTTGTCACTTCTTTTCCCTACATGTTAAATGAACAGATGAAGTTTTGGGTTAAAAGGTATGCACATGATTCCAGCCATTTCATCCTAACAAGCATATATTTCCTTCAGGGAAATGCAGTGGGAAGGTTCTGTTTCCCCAGGACCATCTGCAGTCCTTTTGCCTGCACCCGGCCAAGACTGGTATTGATTTCTACGCAGCTTCAAGACCTCAGCAATGAACAGCAGACTGCATCCCAGGTCTACCGGATATGCCTGCAGGGCTTCTGGCAGGAGAAAGGGTGGAGAGTCAAAGGGCAGTTTAAGGGTAAAAGGGGAAATCCCAAAGAAGCTGGGAGAAAGTGGGCTGCATGCAGAACCCAGTGACAGCAGTGGCAACAGTGGGTTTCTGTTTTTCCTCCTGTATTACTTCACCCTTCCCTGTGGTTCCTCTTTTAAAATAGCTGGATAAACAGTGGCCAGATAAGCAGGCATGAAGTCAGAAGCAGAAACCAAAGCCCGAACTGCGTGAGCCACAGCCAACCACACTCCCAGACTGCCGGGCCCTGACACACACATGCAGAGCACACAGTGTAGATGAGGTCTGTGAAACAGAATATGACATGCGTGGTCAGAAGCAGAACTTAGGTCTCAACATTCTGCAGGATTCCCAACAAGCAAACAAACTTGAGTCTCCTTTCCTCATCCACAGGCAGTGATGCTGAAACCACCCACCTGCCTCTGTGAGCAGCAGTACACATTCAAGTCACTGTTACATTATGAAGGACAATAAAATTCTTTATTGAAGACTCTTTATCCAACCCTACATAACAACTATATTCTGTCATCTCTTAGGAGTTATAATTAAGTGAGCACGATTTAGGTAAATATAAAGTGGCTTTTAAATCACTGCATATAAACATTGCTCAGCGTCTTGATTAAAAAGTGTACGTAGCCCAACCAGGAAGGGTGATTATTCATATACAAAACTGTTATTCGCCTACGATCAACAAAGATGTAAACAATCCCAGTCGTGTGTGAAGTGATGAACACCCACTCATTCAAAGTTCCACCTGCATTTTGGATAACAGGAGAAGCGTGGGCTCCACCTCTGACTCACCTGAGCCAGAATTTCAGCCAGGTTTTTTGAAAGCAGTAGGCCTTGGCCAAGACTAAACTGAAACTTCCTCGAATGTAAATTAGGATAAAACTACCCACTTCACAGGATTAGGGTTACTGTGGCTGTAACCCTACTGCGCCTGATCTGGTCCCTGTAACCTATGGTTGCTCAACAGCCGTAGAGAGTGCTGTGATCACTTCTTAGTCCCCCTGAGCAAGCACGCTTGTTTTCTAAGGAATACTTAAATTACATGTTCAAACATGATTATTAAAACTCTTTCAGCCAAGAAGTACAATGAAAACAATTCCCTGAAACCATTCACAGATCCTGAAACTGAGTCCCTCATTTTAAGTCAGGCATAAGAATAAACCCACATAGTATAAAATGCATCCTTCCTTTATCTAGTTGTTTAGTCAGCAATAATGCTCCTAGTCAAGTGACTTAAACCCCTGCTTTTTACTTTAGACCCTCACCAGCATGAGGGAGGAGGGGACATTTCCCATACCTTCACTGAAGAGGCACAGCTCTAACAGCTGGGCACAGGAGAAGGAAGACGGGACAAAAGAGGTCTCGGCCTGACTACAAACCTCAGCCGCCCAGGAAAAGCAGATCAGGAAAGATTTTGGACACCAGCACCTTCATGGCTCCAACTTAACCTTGTGCCCTCACCACTGGATACGCTCAGTGTCCACATGCTCAACCCTATTTCCTGCTCTCCCTCCTTTCCTGCTCTTCAGTTCATGACTACACTGAGATTTCTGATTCATGGTCATCTTTTTTAAATAAAAATGAAAATCTTACGGACACCAAGGCTGAGGCTTAATTGGACCCCTTTTCCTTAATTTTATGCGACTATTATTTTTCTCTAAGACTAGTTAATAAAAACATGGGCTTTCCTGCTGCAGAAAATCTGAAAGATGTAAATCAGACATCACATTGTTTTTCCCTACAAAACTTTCCCCTTTAGAATTGTGCTGAAGCCTCTGCTCAGCCTTTTGGGCAGCTTTAGAGTCACACGCTGTCAAAGCAGTTTCACACACAAGCAAACAAGCGCGCGCGCGCGCGCACACACACACACACACACACACACACAAAGCGCGCACACGATGGGAAAAACCGGGCTGGTACAAACAAGTGCCTTTGATAACTTCCCAGGAGACAATCTCTCAAAACTCATAACATCAGAGACTGATGGTGGAGGAGGTAGAGTTGGGTAGTCTTGGAGCAGGATACAAAGAAAAGGTTTAGTTCTAGGAGGTAAGATGCCAGAGCTTAGGGAGCAGCAGCAGTTCTGCCGTTTACCTTGCCGGGAGGGAGAAGGGTCTGACTGGGAAAACTCCGGCCACTGGGGGGTGGGGGTGGGGTGGGGGTGGGGGTGTTTGGGGGGTTGCAACAGCAAAGAGAAAGCGGCAAGATTTCACCGAAGCGAAACCTGGAGAATCATCCTCCTGCCCCAATTCCGTGCTGTAGTTTTCCAAGAAGCTACTGAAAGCTCTTTCTGAACAGAAGAATCACATTAACAAAGCAAATCGAGGTAACCTGGTACTAAAAATGCAACCCGCCTCCACGCAGACTTGCAAACGGAAATATCTCTTTCCCTGTATGCAGCGGGTTGCAAAACAGTAGAGATCAGGAGCGCGACCGATCTGTAAGGGGTGCAGCGAGGCTTTTCCTGGATGCGGGAATCTGCCCCAAATGTGCTCAAGGTACCCTGAGTTCCGCCCATCTATTCTCAACAGAATGTGCAGCATTGGACGCTCGGTCAGAGTGGGGCAAGCCACAAACAGCTTGGCAGACACCGGGAGATAAGAGTACCCTAATCCTCCCACCTCCGTGGTTAGGCGTGGTTAGCACCGCAGCGAGGTTTACAGCGCGACAGAAAGTGCACAGGCCGCGCCTGGGGTCAGCCCTGCGCTGAGCAGGGGCTGCGAGCGGATACTGCCCGCCTGGTCCCCGCGCCCTGCCCCCTCCCCTACCGCCCGCTCGCCCGCCCACCCCCGACTCACCTTCGTGCGCCCGTTGATCTTGTAGCTGCCCAGCTTCCCATTGCAGTGGCGAATGAGGTCGTCCATGTTGCTCATAAGCAGCCCGATGGTTTCGCAGCCGGGCTCCTTGCCCTCCACCCAGGTGATCTGGTCGCCCCGGATGTCCTTGGAGGAGTCACTCTTTTGGCTGACAAGCTGCCCATCCGTGAACTTGCCGGTGTCGTGCAGTGCGCGCACCTCGTCGCCGATCTGCTGCCCCGTCTCGCGGCCCAGGAAGTCGTCCACCACGCAGATGCCGTGCTTGTTCATGCACGGCACGATGTACTCCAGCGCCAGCTTCAGAGCAGGCAGCGGCTTCGTTTGCCCGTTGGGCCGCGGTCCCCCGGCTCCGCCACCAGGGTTTAGCGCCTCCCCGGCGCTTAGCAGGGCGCGCTCCGGGCGCGGTGAGTGCCCGGCCGGGGGCGCCTCGAGGTCTCGGCGGCCTCCGCGAGGGGCCCCGGCAGCGTCCCCGGCGGCCGGCGCGGACGCGGGATCGGCGCCGTCCCTGCGCGGCCCCGCCGTTGTCCGGGCCGCTCCCCCAGCCGCGGGAGCCCCTTTGGGCCCAGCCTCGCCGCTCTGGCACACAAGCTTGTGCTTCTTCCAGTCCCGGCGCTGGTGCTCCTTGGAGCAGTAGAAGGAGCTCCGGCAGCGGCCGCAGCGCAGCAGGTTCTCCATCTTCCCGCACAGCTCACAGTACTGGCGCTCGCGCTCGCTAGCGCTCGGCCCGCTGAGCCGGCAGAGCCCGCCGCTGTCACTCGCCATGGCGGAGCAGGCCGGGCGGCCGGCCCGGCGCGGCAGAGAGGCCGTCAGTGCGTCATGCCGGGCCGCGCGCCCCAGAGGCCCTCAGCGCC